CCCATGGATCTAATCCTATGGATATATTTGCGGAAGAATAAAGGTTCCTTATTATCCTTCCGTATAATCTAGACAAGAATTAGAAATACATAGCAGTTATGAGAGGGTATCTTTCACCCCTACTGAGTTAATGAATTCCGCGAGAAATGTTCAATAACTGCCCCGTCTGTCCATAACAGAAGACGGTCGATATGTTGAACACCTGTAGCAAAATCTCATGTCTTGGTTTGCTATTTATTTTTATTGTTATTAAATATAGTTTAAATGTGTTGATGTTGGTTAAATATATTTTAAATTGTGATAAAATTCTGCATCTCTCGGCAAATATTATTTTCGTTTTAATTGATGCTCACAGCTAGATTTTTTTTGCATTAAGGCCGGTGTCGTTCAAAGCCTACTTATTTAAAGCGGGCGAATTTTTATATACTCTATATCTCGAAGAGGAATCGAGCAAAATATCAAGTGTGTTATATTTTTGGAAAGGCAATTTTAAATTCTTTTCAATAAATTAAAAATATACAGGGTGTCCCATATAAAAAATCAAATTTTCTGCTGATAATTCTTAAATTATTAATTTTAAAAAAATTATACTTAAACCATTAAATTCTACGTAAAAAGGTGCTTTGGAAATGTTTTAATAAAAATACAAAATTTTCCATTGCACAAAAGTTACAGCGATTTGTTAAAAATGCATATTTTTGAAAAACACCCCCGTAACTCCTAAACGGTAACATATATCGATATGCGGTTTTCACCATCATGTTTTTGACAAAAATTGAGCTCCAGACACCGATATAGTTTTTGTCTATCTCCTATAGGAAAGGGTGTTTCCATTTAAAAGCGTCGAATTTGACCCACTCTGTACAAGGGATATCACTGGAATATTTTTCGAAAAAAAAAAAAATGTGCGGCACTGATTTTTCTCTTTTAATAGCAAAATTGTGTAGGCCGTTCAATGCCAATTAAAAACTTTTTTTAAAGGTTACTATTAACTTGGATTAAGACAAATTAGTAAAATTGCGTTTATCTCATAAAGGACGCCGAAATCGACAAAATATCTAGAGATAACTTTTAGTCGCCATTAACGGCTTATACTATTTCGCTAACAAGAGAAAAAAGTCAGTGGCGTACATGCTTTTTTTAAAAAAATATTCCAGTGATAAACCATATGCACGTCCCAGATGAGTATTAGGTCCCACGTTTATAGTAACTTTTACCATCAAAATTTCATTCGAATCGCTAAAAGAATTTTGAGACTTTAACACATTGTAGCTACGAAACAAAGCAAAACCAAACCTATGTTGATATGCAAAAAAATCTTATTTTTACACGAGAAATCTCCCCACGAGAGATAGCACATGTTTTTTGAAATACTGTCAAGACTTAAGTAGATGTCAACTTGGGTTAGGTGGTAGATCAAATTGGTAAAAAAGTGCAAATAATATAATTCTAGTAAACCAATTTGATATAGGCCCAAGAGATCGGTTACCTGCATGACATCGACCCAGATATGTTTTTAAATAACATTAAAAATTAAACAATATTAAAATACAACAATCTCGGATCGATAATCAAACGCAGGTTACCGAAGATCGATTTCCTCGTGATCATAGCCGGGTGAATGTAGTTAGATGAAAACATATTGAACAACGTAACCGGCGATGACCACGAGGGATAGAAAATAAAAGAGTATGCTGAAGAGAGTTCGAGTTAGTCGGTTAGTCAGTTGCAGTCCAATGTTCAGTTAGTCAGTTAGTTCAGGTTAGTCAGTTGGTCAAGGTTAGTCAGTTAATCGAGGTTAGTTAGTCGGTTGGTTGCGAGTGAATCAGTAGAAGACAGAAGTTAGCCAGTCAGACAAGATGCTGTTGTAAGTACCTCTTTGAGTCTTGAACTGTTAAGTCTTGGCATTCCCTAAAATCGTAATCTACACTTATTTGTCATATATGTAGTTGTATATTTAAAAAATGGATATATCTTTCTAATGGTTGTTTCATTAAAAGAAAGAACCTGGTATAGCGACCCTAGCGAACAACCCCCAGCTAACTGCGTCGATCTGCTATCTATCGCAGTCCCGGTTTCAAATGTTAAGTAAGTAATTAACTTTTAATTTGAAAGTCGCTTTTAATATAAATATGTACCTACTTGTATAAACATTCAATATTTTAAGAACAATGAAATTTTATTAAAGTAACACTAATGTTATTTTTTTATAAAATAATAAACCTAGTCTAAAAAATCTATTTTATTTGTTACATTTCTTACTCTGAACGAGTGGAATTTTGGTTAAATTTTACAGCGCTTATTGGCATAAATTGTAAAATAGCAACAAAATTGCTGGCAAGAGCGCCAAAGTAAATGTACACAACTTTCTTGTTAACAGTAGAAATTCGAGAAAAGGAATATTTTATTTTCTTCGCAGTCAATTGGTCTAAAAAGTCCTGCACTTCTAGACGTTTTTCGTCGAAGGTTGTTTCTTTGGAAATCATTTTTAAACATGTCTGATAGATATTTTCTGATATCTTTGTAGATTTCTCACATAGATACGTTACTACCCAAGGTATACTCTAAAATTAAAACAAAATATTTACAATTTAATAGATTTTAAAGTAAAAAATTACTTAAAAAAGTAAAAGAAGGAAATAGTTTCAAATAGAGTCCAAGAGAAAAAACTGTAATTTTTTTCATGATACTCTATTACCTAACCTAACCTATAAAGCATCTGCCATGAGAGTACGATGGCAACAACATGCAGAACGCCATAAAAAAACTTATCAACTATTATACAGGGTGTCCCAGAAATAAGTGCAATTATTTAAAAGGGGGTAGATCTTGTCAAAAGACACATATTGTGTCTTTGCCATTTTTAAAATAAATTGAGTTATTTAACATAAATCAGAGAAACCAAACCAAACCAAAAACATTTTGAGAACCGCCGGCAGAAATCGTAAATTACCTACCCGTGTTGTATGTTCGTCGCCTATTGTTGCCACATCGACTAGAAAGACTTAAAAACTACATCCAACAAGAGATTTTGCAAAAGTGCGTTAGTTTTTTTGCTATATAATATCTTTAAATAAGTGAAGTAAACAGATAAGGCGAGGAATTGTTTAAAATTGCTACACTTCATAGAAGTTAGGTTAATATTAAGACGAATTATTCGATGTTACGAAACATCGAATATTACTGGCCAAACATCGATATCATTTAATAATATAATTTTATTTTTTTAATACATTGATGAAAAACTAATTACCTCCTTATTTATTTCTCTTGCTGTACAATTTGTATACGTTTTTTGTATTTCACAGTCTTGACAGACGAATTGCTGATACCAGTATGGTTTAAGGCAGAGGAAAATAAATAAACAGTATAAGTTACGATGGAACCAAAAGCACCAAATATGAATGGATACCGGTTGAGTCTCGGAAACTACTTATCGTATAACTTTGGGAAAAAAATTCTAATGAGTAAAGCTTGATTTTCATGCATCCTTTATACGTTGGTACGTTGATCCGACGGTGCTCTGATTGGTCATAGCGTTTTCGCGCCACTTTTCATCCGTAAATATTTTACTTCAGCCCGTCAACGGACCTGTTCATACGATAACGGACGTTTTGACACTTTTTTGACAAATTTAATCTAACAATAATAAAAATATAAGTAAAATAGCAAAATCGTTATGGAAAAGAAAATATAAAATAACACCAACGTATATCCGATAAACGGAGGCATGAAAATGCAATAAATTTAAAAACTGCGTTATTTTCTAACCAATCAAAGTCTTTAAATTCTACCAATAAAATTAATATCGTATGAACGTATCGTCGGACAACGGATGCAGGAAAATCAAGCTTTAATCGACCAAGAGAAATTGCTGGAAATAATTTTCGGAAATAAGTTCGAAAAATGTCCGCTAGAGGGCGTTCCTCTGATAGCCAATCAGAAAACAAGGTTTTTCTCAAAAATATGCAGGTGAACAGGTATTTAAAATATATTGTAATCATCGAAAATTTTTTATTTTTTTTTTGATATAGAGTATTTTGCTCTATCTCATAAGGGGTGGGGGAAGGTTGTGGGGAAAGGTTAAACTTGCTTTTATTAAAATAAGGATAACTCTGATTTAGGTTAGCCGATTTTAACAAACTAGGGCTCGTTTAAAAGAGCTTTTTTGCCTTAATGATTTCCAGTATAAATTTTTTTACAGAATTTTCTATGCGGACAATAACTAAGAGAATCCCTAGTAATAAAATTATATTGCTCACCAAAAATGTTATATCCCGAACAATTAGAGAGGCAAAGAACTTGCTTTCCAGTTGAGCACCAAAATACGATTTTGCCACTATCATATTATAAACTAGCGTGGCCGCCTGCAATGTACCGATCCACACATAAGCAAACGCGAAGAATAAAGCACTTGACCATAGATTATTAATCAGGTCCACTGTAATTTGGATTTTGAATACATGTTTTCTATACATTCGAAAATATCTAAGAAACTTTATTTTGTTCATACGCTCCAAACGTCTTATACTCTGGTATGTTTCGTTCAAGTCTCTTGTGACAATATAGATTATCTCTGAAAATGCCGTTAATACAGTTAATATATACAGATAAATGATAATTCGGTATAGAAGGAAATAACTTGGGTCCACGTCAGCCCAAATGTTTATGGTGCTTATCCAGAGTCCATGGGTTGTGATCATTTTAATGATTAAAGTTATAACATCTAGTCTAACCCATCGCTTTCTTTTAGTTTGTTCAAACCTAGCTTCGAAATAATAAAGATGCTTGAGAAGTTGTTCCCATTCTCTACGCTTCCACATACTTGTGATTGTTGAATTTAAAATAGCCAAGTAACTTAGTGAACCTTAAAGATAATATGTCAAGTTTATGTGTCGTATTGTAAAATAATAAAATTAATTTAAACTAAGTTATAAAGTTACAGACAAAATAAACAGATCTAAATAAATAAAAAAAGCCAGACTATTTAAGATTTTCTAATGTTTCATGAATGGTCAAGGCTCGAAGAAGGAGAAGGTGAAGGAGAAGGAGAGAGAGAGAAGGAGAGAAGGAGAGAAGGAGAGAAGGAGAGAAGGAGAGAAGGAGAGAAGGAGAGAAGGAGAGAAGGAGAGAAGGAGAGAAGAAGGAGAGAAGGAGAGAAGGAGAGAAGGAGAGAAGGAGAGAAGGAGAGAAGGAGAGAAGGAGAGAAGGAGAGAAGGAGAGAAGGAGAGAAGGAGAGAAGGAGAGAAGGAGAGAAGGAGAGAAGGAGAGAAGGAGAGAAGAGAGAGAAGAAGAGAAGGAGAGAAGGAGAGAAGAGAAAGGAGAGAAGGAGAGGAGAGAAGGAGAGAAGGAGAGAAGGAGAGAAGGAGAGAAGGAGAAAGGAGAGAAGGAGAGAAGGAGAGAAGGAGAGAAGGAGAGAAGGAGAGAAGGAGAGAAGGAGAGAAGGAGAGAGAGGAGAGAAGGAGAGAAGGAGAAGGAGAGAAGGAGAGAAGGAGAGAAGGAGAGAAGGAGAAGAGAAGGAGAGAAGGAGAGAAGAGAGAAGGAGAGAAGGAGAAAGAGAGAAGGAGAGAAGGAGAGAAGGAGAGAAGATAAGAGAAGGAGAGAAGGAGAGAAGGAGAGAAGGAGAGAAGGGAGAGAGAGAAGGAGAGAGAAGGAGAAGGAGAAGGAGAAGGAGAGAAAGGAGAAGGAGAAAGGAGAGAGAAGGAGAGAAAGAGAGAAGAGAAGAAGGAGAAGGAGAAGGAGAAGGAGAAGGAGAAGGAGAAGGAGAAGGAGAAGAAGGAGAAGGAGAAGGAGAAGGAGAAGGAGAAGGAGAAGGAGAAGGAGAAGGAGAAGGAGAAGGAAGGAGAAGGAGAAGGAGAAGGGAGAAGGAGAAGGAGAAGGAGAAGGAGAAGGAGAAGGAGAAGGAGAAGGAGAAGGAGAAGGAGAAGGAGAAGGAGAAGGAGAAGGAGAAGGAGAAGGAGAAGGAGAAGGAGAAGGAGAAGGAGAAGGAGAAGGAGAAGGAGAAGGAGAAGGAGAAGGAGAAGGAGAAGGAGAAGGAGAAGGAGAAGGAGAAGGAGAAGGAGAAGGAGAAGGAGAAGGAGAAGGAGAAAATTAAAGATCATTAAATTCTGCATATAATAAGTGTCAATTCGGTCTAGTGTTAGGATAGCAGATCCTTTGATATTACATAGTAAGTTAAATAAAATCTATGTTAGTTTATGATTAATTATACAGGGTGTTCCATTTGAAATAACGAAGAAAATAGTTTAGTAGGGATAAATAATAAATATAACAATAAATTCTAAAGTGAGTTACATTTCAAAAACAATACGGATACAACAATCAATGTAAAATCTTAAGCATCTTACCCAGAATGAATTCAAAAGAAATAAAGATGTGATTATAAGTACCCTTGGCGTCAATAAGATAATTTATTCTAGCCTTTATACCGATTTCCATAATCACAAACGTGGTGAGAACAAGCAAACATTGATAAGAACATTGCAAATAAAAGTAGATTTTATTTCTATTAAGCATGGGAACGAGACCGTAAAATTGACAGTAGATTTCGATCATTTTCAAATAGAACATGGTTTAAAACTCAAAAAGTAGTTCTGGTTCATTTGAGGTTTTAAAATCAAATAGCAATTAGGAAATTAAATATTTTACCCACACAGCAATTTTAATTTGATTATTGTTTAATTTTAATCATTTTAGTAAAAATTTGTAAAATTAATACTCATAGTAGAAATCTAATGTATTTAGAAAATTAATACATTTAGGTTTATCAAATTAATGACATGAAATAAGCATTTGATTCTTGTATAGGCAATCCATTAAAATTAATACAATCAAGCAATTCTATTAATATTGAATTGTACCATACAATCGACAAAAAACGGCGTCAAAGACGGCTGGGAATGACAATCGGTAATAATTTTGGAGAGGTCAAGCCCTAAACGTCATTTACTTTACCAGTACTCTTCTTTATTTTTTAATGGCGCTTACGGCCAGCTCAAATTAGAAAGGTTGTAATTTATTTTGGTATTAAGCATGGAGTGTAGAGGTAAGGAGAAATATCTTCGTGCATTAAAAAATGGTAATAAAAAAGGAAGAATTAAGATGGCGCTGCTGTAGCACAAACCTAAAATTTAAAATATGCGCCGAAAATTTTTAGAACAGGAAATAATTCAAAAGAGATAAATATTTGACGTGAAGGCGCGTGTTTCAAGTCACATGAAATAAACTATCGATTTTTATTCAGCAGCAATAAACTGGGCCTCTAATATATAAAAATAATAGTTTTATATTCTAAAAAATAAAAAAATGCTTTTTTGGGTAATGTTTGGTTATGTTACTTTTACTATCTTATCTATGGTTACTTTTCATTTTTTTAGATTTATGCGCCATTAGCGCCACTGTGGTCAATTAGTGAACCTTTATTCTTTTTTGTGACCACTTTTTGAAATAAAGTCCCATAAGAGATATTTCTCCTCATCTCTACACTCCATAGTTTCACTTCGTAGTTTTACTCCATAGTACTGAGTAAAAATGATTTTTAAATGGTAAAGTTTTAAGTTCGAGAAAAATATATTTTTCTGGAAATAGATTGGTGTTTCTGGAAACGTTCTGTCTTTGTTTAGTCCTTGTATAATTATTAATGTTCATTTTTGATAAGTTTTATGTCATTTTTTTCATGTAAATGATGTCTAAAGATCCACTTTACCAAAATTATCATCAATTATCATTTTCGAGGCGTCTGTGCTACCGTTTTTTTTTCGATGATCATAATATGGAGAAGATATCCATATAGAGCAAAAACGCGTAGAGGTAAAAAAGTTTCCAAATTGACTATAATACACAAAAAAATAGTTTATTGTACAATTAGCTGAGGGATAAAAAATTATAAAATAATATTGGGGCAAGTGGAGTGGTAATCAGGACCTGTATGTGTGTTTTATAGATTTCGAGAAGGCTTTCGATAAACTTCAACATCATAGAATAATTGAAATACTTAAAGGCATGAATATCGATAGCCGAGATATCAAGATAATAGTAAACCTTTATTGGGGGCAAACAGCGAAGGTTATAGTGGACGACCAACTTTCTGATGAAGTAAAGATTCTGAGCGGCGTTCGTCAAGGATGTATACTTTCTCCGCTATTGTTTAATATATATATAGCGAATCAATTTTGCGTCCTTGACTAGTAGTAAGAAGGGCATCACTATTAATGGGCAGGTCTTAAATAATATGCGGTTCGCGGACGATACTGTCCTTATAGCAGACAACGTGGAAGGTCTCACTTCTACAAAGACTAAATAACATATGTAGTGTCTATGGCCTGAAAATGAACTCTAAGAAAACTAAATTTATGATAATTACTAAGAGAGAAGATGTCCAAGCCAATGTTCTAATAGATGATATATACACCTATGGAGGGAGTACAAAAATAAAAATATCTAGGCAGTTGGTTGACCGAAAGCTTGGATCAATCAGCAGAAATAAAAGCTCGAATAGAAATAGCCAGAGCAGCCTTTGTAAAACTCAAAAAATGTCTCTGCAGTGGAGACATCAACTTAAAGCTTAGATTAAGAATGCTAAGGGGTTACATATTTGCAACTCTACTCTGTGGTTCAGAGGCTTGGACACTTAAAAACGCCGAAATGGAGAAGCTTGTGGCATTCGAAAGATGGTGTTATCGGCGTATGCTGAGGATTGCATGCATGGACTGACAAGGTTACAAATGTAGAACTGCGACGCAGAATTCAGAAGGACGAAGAGGTGATTAACACCCTTAAGAAGAGAAAACTTGAGTACTTTGGACACATAATGAGAGGACCTAAATATGCCCTACTGCAGAACATAATAGAAGGAAAGGGCAGAAGGAGCCAAGGAAGCAGAAGAACATAATGGCTCAAGAATTTGAGAGAATAGTTTGGAATGACTCCAAACGAGTTATTCAGAGCATCCGTTAACAAAGTTAGAATTGCCATGATGATTTCCAACCTCCATTAGGAGATGGAACCCGAAGAAGAAGAAGAAGAAGAAGAAGAAGTGGAGTCGCTGTTCAACCAAATACAGTTTTTAGGTACTTATTTATTTATACATATATCATCAACATTTTCTGCTTATTCGACCATTTATGGTGTAGCCTACCTCACATACCTCACATTGCTGTCTATTGTTGGCTATGCGAGCCCAAGTCATCCCTGATAATTTCCTAATATCATGGACCCATCTCAGGTTTGGTCTTCTTCTAGGTCTCTTAATTCCTCGTGGGTATTATGCTGTAATTTTTGTGGCCCATCTGTTGTCCGTCCTTCTTGTCAAGTCTCCTGCTCATTGCCACTTAATGGATTTGATTCTGTGGATGGCATCTATTACCTGGGTCTTTTATCCTATCCACTCTATTCTTTTGCAGTTTTTTGGTTATTCCCAATATATTTCGTTTCATTGAGCGTTGTGCAACCTGCAGTAATTGAAGTACTGAAGATGCCGAAGCAGTTTACCAGCCGTTGCAAAAAAAACTCATCGCGATCTTATTAGAATATTTTGAATATGAAAGCGTTAATAATGGCTCTTTATGTCCCGTAGATGCTGTTAAGGAGGTGAGTGTTTTTGATATATAAATAATACTTGTTATATATTTCTAATTAATTAATTTTTGTTTCCTAAAATATTTGGATTAAAAGAAAATATGTAAAATTCGGCAACATTGTGCCGGTCAAGCTTAATCTTGTGACTAAAAGTTTATTTGGTATAATCTATGTATTTTTTTTTCTGTCAATTCTTTCATTGAACTGTTAGTCAAAAGATATAATAATTATTGTTAAAAATAAAACTCATATATTTAAAATATCTTTTGTTATATATTTGTTTCATTTGTGTTTCGTATAACATTCAACGGCATAAATTGTAATATAACTACAAAATAACTAGCTATAGCACTAAAGTATACATAAATCAACTTCTTGTTTACAGTTGTGATGCGTGACAGTGAATATCTTATTTTCTTCATAGTTAATTGTTCGAGAAAGTCCTGAACTTCCAGTCGTTTTTCGTCGAATGATCTTTCTTTGGAAATCATTTTCAGACATGTACTGTATATATTATCTGATATCTTTGTTGATTTGTCACATAAATATGACATTATCCATGGCATTGTCTAAAAATAATGAATAAGATTTTTTTTAATAACACTAAACAGGCTGTCAAAAAATAGTGTATTCAACTTTAGTGGGTGGCTCTACATATAAAAACAAAACAAACAGTTTCTATAAACGTAAAAGTTACATAGAAGTTACAGCCCTCGAAAGGTTAAATAAAAATATATATGCTACGGCTAAAATGGATACTTGGCTAGTTTTCAAACTAGCCGGCTATTTTGCAGAAAGCGCTGTTATTTTGTGGGTTAGGTGTTAGTTGTGCTGTTTGTTTGCAAAATAGCTGGCTAGTTTGAAAACTAGCCAAGTATCCATTTTAGCCATAACATATACATATTTTGTTCATTTTTAACATTTGTGAACCATTTTTCTTGAAATTTGGTACCTACAGACATGTAGGCACTCC